GACATTGTGAACATAACGATGAGAGGAGAAAATATATAAATATGATTGAGGAAATAATATAGTATGTTTTAAGGTCATTATATCGGGTGATTCTTTTATCAYTGAACACTCATTATTTCAAAAATTATCAATGTTTTTGAAAATATTAATTTACATAGTTTCAAGTTGTTAAAAAACCAACGTTTTTATTAAAATATTTTATTTTAAAATATTTTTTATCCTTATAATTTTTTACTTTTTTGAATGATAAAATAGAGTTTTAATTTCATATTCCAAAGCAGAATATTTTTCTTAGTACTTTGATTCATAAAAATCGAATTCAGGACGAGTATTTCATGAGTTATAACTGTTATAAGTATTTAAAGTTTAGAAAAGCGGTGTAGTGGACAAACATTTTGCAGGGTAACCCCGTACTACTCCACTCTGCCAATCTAAACTTTAAATACTTATAACTCATAAACTACTCGTCCTAAATTCGATTTTTATGCATCAAAATACTTCTGCTTTGGAATATGGAATTAAAACTCTATTTTGTCATTCAAAAAAGTAAAAAATTATAAGGATAAAAAATATTTTAAAATAAAATTTTTTAATAAAAACGTTGGTTATTTAACAACTTGAAACTATGTAAAAAAAATTGATAATTTTTGAAATAAAGAGTGTTCAATGATATAAGAATCACCCGGTAGTGTTATACCAGTATTTCATGAAAATTAATTAATGATATAATTATGAATCCTCTGATGATATAATATCATTTATTAAATCAAATTTAAATAAAAGTATTTACTATAAAATAAATAAAAATTATTATTAAATTATTCATCCGTGGAAACCCATGATTCCATTATCATTTTTTTTCTATTCCTTTAAACATTGGTCATTTTTTATTTTTATAATTCAAATATTGGTAGCTTCGAGTACTCAAAATTATCATTTTTCAATAAACTAATTTTCGGATTAATAATTTGAATACTACAGACTGCAGTATGTAGTGTTTATTTCTAATCAATTTTTTTAAAAATTTTTTTGCTCCTTGAAAAACATTTGCCTACGGGCTCCAGGTCACCCCTTCTCATTTTTATTCATTAATAATTAAGTATGCCAACTTTTAGAGTAGGTCCAACATTTTTTTTTGCATCTTAAAAAACATTTGCCTGCGGGCTCTGGGTCACCCCTTCTCATTTTTTTTTCATTAATAATTAAGCATGCCAACTTTTAGAGTAAGTCCAAAATTTTTTTTGCATCTTAAAAAACATTTGCCTGCGGGCTCCAGGTGACCCCTTCTCAATTTTTTTTCATTAATTTCAGTATGCCAACTTTTGGAGTAGGTCCAAAATTTTTTTTTGCTTCTTAAAAAGCATTTGCCTGCGGGCTCCAGGTCCCCCTTCTCATTTTTTTTCATTCATTTCAACGTAGTTAATTTTTTGATTTTTATAATTCGAAAATTGGTAACATGCAGTCCACAAAATAATCATTGTTCAATAATCAAATTTTTACTAATAATTTTCCGGATTAATAATTTTAATATTACAGCTGCAGTGTGTAGTGTTTATTATGTTAAATTTTGTTCAATTTGTGCAAGTTCAATATTTTTATTTGCATCTTAAAAAACATTTGCCTGCGGGTTCCAGGTCACCATTTCTCAAATTTTCTTTGGTTAACTTTTTGTTCAATTTTGTGCAAGTTCAATATTTTTATTTACATCATGAAAAACTTCTGTCTAGTGTTTATTTCTAATTAATTTTTTTTTAAATATTTTTGCTCCTTGAAAAACATTTGCCTACGGGCTCCAGGTCACCCCTTCTCATTTTTTTTCATTAATAATTAAGCATGCCAACTTTTAGAGTAAGTCCAAAATTTTTTTTGCATCTTAAAAAACATTTGCCTGCGGGCTTTAGGTCACCACTTCTCATTTTTTTTCATTAATTTCAGTATGCCAACTTTTGGAGTAGGTCCAAAATTTTTTTTTTCTTCTTAAAAAGCATTTGCCTGCGGGCTCTGGGTCACCCCTTCTCAATTTTTCCTTTAGTTAATTTGTTCTTCAATTTTGTGTTGACACAAATTTTTAATTTCATTAATTTATTTAGCATAAAACATTTTTCTGCGGGCGAAAAACCTCTTTCCTTCTTTTTGTTTAATATTCAATTCAAATTGATTATTGTTATGTAATCTAATATCACTCATTTTTTTTTTGTATAATCAACCCCTAACTTTTTCCGTATATTACTTGCTTTTTATTTTAGTTAATAATTCTTTATTGTTTCAAGATAGTTCTCCTAACCTTACTATAATCCTTAATACATTGGATAAATGAAGTACCTCAATATTTTGGATAATATTCCCCATATCTTTCAAAAATTAATTCCCTTAATATTTCGGATAACATTTCCCTAATTTTGGGAGAAATTATCCGAAATATCCAGGGAATATTATCCGAAATATTAAGGGATAATTATCCGAAATATTAAGGGATAATTATCCGAAATATCCAGGGATAATTATCCGAAATATCAAGGGATAATTATCCGAAATATCAAGGGGTAATTATCCGAAATATCAATGGGTAATTATCCGAAATATCAATGGGTAATTATCCGAAATATCAAGGATAATTAGCCGAAAGATTAGGGAAATGTTAGGTTTATGTTAGGAGAACTATCTTGAAACAATAAAGAATTATTATCTAAAATTATTATTATTAGATTGTTTGCATATCATTTCCACAGTCACATGAAGGAGTGGTGTGTAATTTCCATTTGTACATCATGTGGTTGCATCTTCCATGGCCGGTCCTAATGCGATTTAGGGGGTATAAAGGTAAATCGCTTCCACGTAGTGTACCCCGGGCAACGTTTTAAACGGCTAAAGATTTACCAAAACCGACTGCTGTACTGTCTTCTATGACCTCACAGCACCTATGAGCAACAACAACACCAACATTAATGAGATTACTTATTTTGTAGAACTAAATATTGATAGTATCTTTTCTCATCGAATAACTCAGAGTCGGGAAAAAATTCAAACAATACCATTAAAGTACAAGGATTGGAATTTGTAGAAAGTTAGTTTTTCATATACATAACATATATTGAGTATTAATTATATTTTAACCAAAAATATTTTCATATTAGATAAAAAGTTACCCATGAATGATGATGTGGCATAATCCATAAAAAGTAATATTATAAKTTATAATACATATTATATTGACCTACTTACAATAGTAATTAACAATATTTTTAACATAACGTTCGTTTAGGAAGCGGATCGGAGAATAAACTTAATATTCCATATAACGAACATTTACCAAACACGAGCATGCAAATACACCAACCGACCAAACCAACCAGGTTGGTAATATGTTTGCCAACAGAAGCGTCCGCAGGAAAAGAGATACTACAGCGACCACTTCCAACATTCACGGTAACAATTGATTTTAGGTTATATTAGAAAGTTTACACTTTATAGTACTTTTTGAATAGTATCTTAACATTAAAATTCTTAAATATTTTAATAGCCGGCCATTATTATTTAATGTTGGTCATTGTATTATTTTTATTTTCAATTAATTAATTTAATGTAGATATATGGTAATTTCTAAATAGCTGTGACGGCAGAAAAACAATGATTTTGATTTATAATATAATAATAGTATATTATTTTTATAAAAATGTTAGCTTTTTTCTGAGTATAACGTTTTAGACGAATTAATATATAAACATAATAATTTTTAATATGTAATAAATACGATACGTACGTATAATGTTTTGTTTATCCCGTGAAATTCTCATGCAAACTAGTTATTCTATAAAATAAAGTAGGTATTACATACATTTCTGCTAACATATTATATTCCTAATCATTTCAAATTAGAAATTTATATTTAAAATTAAATTGCAAATTCTAATTTGTCATGCTACATATGAATAATATTCTGTTTCGGAAAATGAAATAGAAATGTATTTTGTTTTAAAAAAAGTAATAAATTTGAAAATCGATGACGATGGATTATAGTGTCTATCACCCGTGGCAAACGTAAAATCGTATTGTCGTATTGTCGACATTTTGTCGGAGACGATTCACAATTTTTTTTATTTCATATTTCATTGTGCTCAAGTTATTTTAAGAAAATAACTCGATACTTTCAGACTTCAGTTCAGAGTGAGATGAAGACATATGAAAGGAGAACAGTTCCTTAATATGGCATTTGAACTCTAGACATTGCTCAGCTGTATTTAACTTGATTTATGCGTAAGTTTGATAGACTATTCTTTTAAAGCCTTAAATATTTTACTTTTTAGTGTTAAAACTAATATTTTATTGTTCGATCAATGATCAATCTCCTACCCGCATGATGTAGATGGGTATTTTATTACTGAGCGCGCAAGGCGCAACGCATAAAATACGAGTACGTATATGCACAAACGACGACGATACATCCAGATCGTAGAATAATAATAGATTTTAACAATTAAAGAGGTATACCTATAAATATTTTCGTATATCTAGGCATACTACAGTATTACAGCCCGGCATTTTATGTTTTGCAAGATTAAAAATTGTTTTCAMTGTTACTTGATAAACGTTTAGTTACATCATAACATTTAAACTCTACGCATCCGCGGCGAAAAGCTCAAAGTCCGGCGTTAAGTTCTGGGGTTTGGATTGACTTAGACGAATTGAATAACGAGTAAATTATAAAATAAATTAATATTAYGATGACGTCTGCTGTGAACCAACCACAATTAAAACAACGCCATAATTTATCAAACATTAAATAGTTTTATAAAGTAGGGAAACCGAGAAGGAAGTCAAGTTGTTTATGGTCGATTCACACTAACGGTACGGTCACGATCCTTCGATGGGTAAAATATATCTATATTTATATTATGCATATCTATATTTTACCTATTGACAGACCATGACCGTACCGTAAATGTGAATCGGCCTTTAATGTATCTTGTCAACGAGTAGGATATGGTATTGGATACCACCTGAATTCAATAATTTATTATTTTATCTCYACCTAAAACGATTTTGAAAGAAGATAGTGTCAATCTCTATTTCTAAGTATGTATGTAGTTATCCAATAGTTGATAATACATTAATAAGCATTAAGTCAATTAATTTTCAACCAATATATAGGTATAGGTACCTAATATAGTAGCTATGGTATAAAGACTATAAAGTATACTGAGTTTTACTTCTACCAAAAAATGGTATCTAAATATTATACTATATTATTATTTATTTTTATCATAAAATATTATTGTAATTCACTTATACCTAACTCAGTAGTGACGAGTAACGTATTGTATAATATATTTAACGCCTTTCAATGAAATAGTGAAGGTACCTACAAACTTTGTTAAGTGCATGTTATAATAGTGACTTTTCACAATGAATAAATAATTTTATAATTTTTCATTCTATCATACTAAACATTCATATTTTAATTTAACCTTTTTAAAACTATTCATTTTATAATATAACCCTTAAGGATATTAAAATTTTAAAAAATATCCAAAATAAATTGTAAACTGTAATGAAAACACAATTGAATAAAAACTAAAATTAAGTTAAAATATCTATTTTGAAAATTGCTTTAGTGTACTTAAACGTCTTAAACTATCAATAAACAAATATATTACGACAAAGCTTGTATTACATTTAAAAGATTTTTTTTACATGCAGAACACATATTTTTACTTAACGGAGTTAAACATGAGACATTTTAAATTTTAAATATTCTTAAATAGTTTAAAATCAAAAATATAAAACATACCTAAGTACTAGGGCCGGATTTAACGGGGGGCTTTAGGGGCACTTGCCCCGGGAATCAGATGTTTGGGGGCATCCGATTATGAGATCGAAATACTAAAAAAAAATATATTAGCTTTAAAAATTAAATATTGATTTATATTTAAATTTTGGGGCTGCAAAATTAAAACATCAAGATGTCACCTGACAACAGAATAATGACATTGGCCAATGGGGCATCCAGCAAACAAAATATTTTAGTACCTATATAATTATAAACGTGCGAGTGGTTATATAATTTATTTTTAACATCGCGGTGGTAGTGCCTTTTTAATATTTTTTCTGTCGGGGGTATCAAAAAAAGATTTGCCCTGGGTATCCGTTATAGGTACACTATACAATCAAAATTAGCATATTAAAAACTAAAAATTAGGTATTATCCAATTATATTTTAAAATTCGTAAAAAAAGTTTTATAAAAATATTTATGTGTTTCTAATATTTCAATACAATTTTAATCAATAATCTAATAAAAAATAATTAAAACACTGCTATACCTAGGTATATTTCTGTGTTATAAATTTAAACTTTAAAGTAATAAATTATTTTGGTGATTGATATAATATCAAAAACCATTATTTCATTGAGCAAATCGTAAACATTGATCAGCTTGGTATAAAAATTGCATTATGATATTATATATCTTTGGATTTATCTGATTGACATAATATAATAATACATGGCAATTGTCAATAGAAGATGCAGTCAATTAAAGATTCTAAAACTTCAATAGCAAAGCAGATATGAACTAAAAATATACTGCATTCTG